GTTTCGACCTATATTTAATATTTAAAGTTGACGAGTCGTAAGTTGTGGTGTGGAAGTACTAAGTGCTCGGCATTGTTTATCAATAGCTGATTTCGTTTTGCTTCATACCGGGGACCGTCCGCGTCCTAAGCGGGAGAAAGAATCACGAACTCAACACGCACCGACTGGTAATTTTACAATTCAGAACCAAGTGCTCTAATAACAATTCGTCGACGTTGAATTCTACGACCACCGCACGGGATTTATTAGGGGTGTCAGGTCTGACAAAGTAATTTTAAATCGTTCTATCCCCCAAGGTAGCGTCCTGGGATGTTTGTTATTTTTAATTTATATCAATGACTTGCCTAATTCATTTAATATTCCTTGCATTCTCTTCGCCGATGACATTTCGATGATTCTGCCGCTCCAATATTACACAGCTTCACGAACTTTTGAATTTAAATTTGAAATTAATGACAAGCTGGCTTAATGACCATAATCTAGAAGTTAATTTTAACAAAACTAAATTAATGCAGTTTAGACCTTATCAAAAACGCCCTATAAATTTAATTTATAAATTTAACAACATCGCGCTTGATTCGGTAAACTCCTTTTGCCTTCTAGGAATAAATATCGACATAAATATAAATTGGAAGGATCATGTGAATAAAGTTGTTGGTAAACTGTCTAGTTTCACATATGCTCTGAACGAGCTCAAAAAATCTACTGACCTTAGGACAGCAACTAGCGCTTACTACGCGTATGCTTATGCCTGGCTTAGCTATGGCGTTGCATTGTGGGGCAACAGCATTGACGCAAAAAAAGTTTTTGTGTTACAGAAGAAATGTATCCGCATACTCGCTAATATAGACTCATTTACAAGCTGTCAATCGTATTTCATTAAATATAATATCTTGACTTTACCATGTATATATATTTTACAAATGTGTCTTATTGTCAAGAATAATTTGAATGCATATCCTCTATATTGTCGTTCAGTAAAATTAAGACCCAAATGCAGACTAGCAACAACAGTTTCAAAATTACAAATGGTCAACTTGGGGCCATATTCGATGTCACTCACTTTTTAAAACTGATAAATAGCGTAAAAATGTTTAAAAATCAACTTAGTAAACATCTATCTCAAAAATGCTACTATTCATTGCAAGATTTTTTTAATGACAAGGAAAATTGTTCCTAACGTCTTAAAAAAGGAATTTTGATATGTTAACTGTATTTATAAAAAATATGACATAATTATGTAATTTAATAAAATGACAAATGTTATGACTATTATTATATAATTCTAGAATAATTTGACGATTAATTTTTTTTTTTAAATACTTTAGACTTCAATTTGACATTCATTTTCCAATTAATTCATTGACTTTTCAGAAAATATTTTGTTTAGATTTAATTATCATTATAATGATATTTTAATTAATGGTAATCATAATGTGTATTTAAAAATTGACATTGCTACGCCCTTGCAGGGTACATGTTTGATACTGTAAACTACTATAAGAACTATTATGTAACACCATGTTTCGCAATAAACGTTATTATTATTATTATTATTTTCGTATTTATTTTAAACTCTCGCCTCTCCCAAGGCCTAAAAAATTAATTTTGAATTTTTAAATGGGAGAGGCGGTATTTCCCGGCAATGGCACAGTCGGCCGGGGTCAGGGACTCAGGTCCAAGAATCGGCGAACAATACGTGCCGTATCGAGCAGGACCGCCTTCTGCATTTGTGCTTATTATTATTATTATTATTAATTCTATTTAAGCTGCTTGTTAATAATACGAGGGGTGTGCAATGTTGAAAAACAAGTCGATATAGTCCATCACAGTATTTCTAACAGTAACTGATCAAACTAGCGATGCATCAGCAATTGATTGAACAACATTAAACAAAATGATATAGTGTTAGAATCCCCACATTTTCCTCACATAGCGCCAATCCCCACAAAATCCCCAGTCTAGTTGCAATTCCCCATAACTTGGGAAATTCCCCACAAATTGGCAACACTGGATACAATAGTCGTAATTCGCGCGCGGGCCGGTCATGCCCGGCATGTTTTTGTTTGTTGACAAATAAGTGATAAAAACAATTGAAATGAGCGAATTACGGAACTAGCCGTTGGAAGGAGGTTTTTTAAAAGGCGATTTGTATTCTTTTATAAGATTTTAATTAATGAAAGTATTACATTGGTTTGCCTTAAAACTAATTATGCTAATTGTCCGTTTCGCTTTAACGATTGAGCGAGAGTGTTCTCTAAAACGTTACATGGATTAACCTTAATTTCGACACTGCACTTTTGGGAATTTTACTAATGATTCACTGGTCTTTCTCAATTACTGTTGGTGTGCGGCGTCATTGAGAAGGGTTAGCACCGGTAACACCTTCCCTCCTAGACAAGCAACTATTTGCAAAGGTTGAGAGCAAATATTGCGGTTTGACGATCTTCCATAGATGTCCTTTCAGCTTCCATGGGTGTGGGGATCTCCGTAGTCCTTATATTGGATTCAGGGGTTGTTGAGTAATTTGTATCTGACGGGGGCGACGGTGTCGCAGTATATATAAAATACTAAGTACAGCTGCACTTAATAGAGCGATGTACAACGGTATTGTCGTATGATATATATCTGAAGGATTAACACTATCAATCTTTATCGGGGCATCCATAAGAACTTGGTGTTGAATATTGTGCAATTTGTCCAAATTAATCGTTGTGAAATTGTAGTGTGGCAAATTCTTAATAAGTGGTGTGGTAATTGTTGAGATTGACATCAGTTCGACGGCGTTACCACGAATTTTGTCATCAGCATTAATGATTGTGAAATCTTTTGTTGTAATTGTGCAATCTTTGGGTACCGTTGCAAAATAACTGCCGCTCAGTGAGCGATATTCTTGATTTTCGCAGAACATCTAAACTTTTGTGGCTTCTGGGAATGACATGATGTAATCCCAAACAGACATAAGACTGCAGTACTAATTAATATGTTTTAATTTAATCTAATTTCTATTAATAATTAATAATAAATTAAACTTAATAAACAAATTCATTCAATAAAATAATTTGTAAAACTTAATGTAGCGTAAATTGGAATGTTTTCTTTGTAAAATTAAAAATAAGGTATTTAATTAATAACTATTGTAACTATAGTGAAAAAATAGGGTGGTTTGCATCAATATTAGACATAACTGGTTGAAGACTGTACCACCTCAGTCAACCGTGACCATGGGACCTGTAAAGGGCCCGAAACGTCGGTTTGTTTGAAAAAACAAATATACGCGATTTAAATCCGGAAAAATAGTTTCATTCCTAAATGCTAAAATATTTTGTAGTCTATCTATTTCTAAAGAAAGCTCCTGAATATTTTCAGAAATTGCGTTGAAAAGTTGCATTGTCTTAATATATTGTATTGCATGCTCATCCTTTGAGGAATTCATAAGATAAGAAATTCCGTACATTTTGTCAACGGGGTGTATAAGTATTGCAGTACGTAATTTTGGATCAACATCTCAGAAATTTCTACTTCGGTTCTTCGAAATGTTTGAAAGGGATGAGTAATTTTAGGGTTGGCTTTAACGGGGCTGCTAGTTAGCCTTATTAAAAACTGTCGTTTAAATTTGTTCAATGGGTCTTCTGTTATGGGTATGTTGAGTATAGGATCTTTTACCGATGTATGTACTGTTTCTGTCACGTGTGTATCTGGGTCGGGGTTAAGGACAGGGACGGGACTACTTAGAGCTCGCTGGCTCGGCGCGGTATCGGTTGAGGATGGGCTTGATTGATCTGTCGTCCGGGGCTGTCACTGTCGATTCAGAGTCAGAAATATTAACTATTATTGAAGACAAGTGTAGGTTGTTAATTTCGTGTTTTATTTCATTGGTAAAGGTCAAAGGCTCGTTCCAAATAAAATATGTCCGAATATTCCTTATAGATAGAAAAAAGATTTGCCTTCTCTTCCATGTTTGACTGATCGGTATGTGGCCGCGATAAGATTTCTTGGAATTGCGCGCCCTTGCCATTGTCAGCAGGTGCGGTATTATATATCTGTTCGTTGTAGATGTGTACATATAAACGTTTGTCGAAGCTCACTATTATGTAGTTATTAGTAGGGTTAGTAATTTCGATCTTTATCTGATTTTTTGTCCGGTGGATAGACATGCCGTCATATTACAACCATTAATAGATTCCTGATCTATTTGTACAACTCCTTGTGAAATATTAGTTGGCACTTCGATTATTAGGGCAGATTGCGCTGGGATAATTAATTTCGAATGTATTTATTGTATGTGAGTCATACATGTGAATTGGGTTCGTCGCAAATTTGGTGTTTAATGTCTGAAGGTTTATTTTCGCTTGCCATTGTTCTAAAAGGTCGCATCCGATCAAAACGTCGAATTGATCGTGAAATTTGTGAACGAACATTTTCACGGAAGTTTGATCTTTAAACTCGGAAAAGCAAGGGATCCTTATAGAATAATCATTTTGACAAGGTAACATACATGCATGTATGTTTGTGACTATAAAGGAATCATATTGCAATGGCATGTGAGAATAAAATTGTTCGACAGCTCCAAGACTAACAAACGATTGATTAGCGCCTGTGTCGATAAGCAATTTTAAAGGGTGTTGTATCTGAATGTGCGGTAGTTTTCTCTTACTTTGTAGATTGAGTTCTATTTTTGGGATCTATAATTGTATCCAACTGAAAATTTTCATTATCATTTTCTTCGGCGTTTTCTGAAATTTCAGTTTCGAGGTAGCATGCAGTGGGCAAGTACTGATTGGGGTCGATGTTCGTCTCATAGTCGTAATCATATGCTTCGTAAGTCAGGTAATAGTCGGATTGGAACTCATTCATGTTGATTTGTCTCGTTATGGGTAGAGGACGAAAAGTGGGGTGATCTTTTCCACTCATGGGTACAGAGTGGTTTTGTGGACCTTGGGGGTTAAAACGAGGGGGTATTTTGAATCCAGTGGACATATTTGAACGAGGTATGGCTCTCATTGTTTGTTGAGTACTTCTTGTCCTTCTAGTCCTTGGAATGAATCTTGAGGTCTAGGTATAAACTGTGGTTGGTTACGGTTCTCGCGTGGAGTGAAGAAATTGTTTGGACTGACATTAGGGGTCATTTCATTTACAGGACTTTGTGGAAAAGAGTTTGTTTCTCTTTGAAAAGTCTGAGGTGGGTTGAAAAGTGGTTGATTATTCACAGTGAAAGGGGCTTGTCTCTTTGCATTATTGGGTTGACAATTTTTGTTCTGAAAGTAAACGACATTCAGCTCCTCCTGTGTATACTCAAGAGTCTTTTCAAGTGTGTTTGGTTTCATGCATCTAATTCTCGACCCTATTGACTCTTTCAATCCGCGCATGTAAGTTTGTGGCGCTAATTTATTGTATAGCTGCCGCTTAACATCGACTGTGATACTCACATTTTCGTGCAATTGGACATACGTCATTATGGTACTGAGCAAGTTCTGCACCTTTTCATAAAAGATTTGGGGACTGTCGGTACCTAGGGTAAGTGTGGATAAATCTGTATAAAGTGAACATTCGTCTCTATGATCCGAAAAACTATTCATCAAGGTTTGGCGAATTCCTGCCTAACTGTTAGGAATACCATTTGCAGCTAACGTACGGGCTGCGGATCCAGTAATTTTATTTAAAATTCCATTAAGCAAAGTCGAGTTAGACCGTATGCTCTGGGGCCGTACTTGTATATTCTGAAACTAGTGTGTCACATATGTCTAAAAATCTAACTAATATGTGGGAATTTCCGTCCGTTCCGGAACGCCTTTCAAATTTGGTGGATTTTCTCGTTGTTTTGAGACATTTCGTCGGGCTCTTCCGGGATATGTCCCAAATTATCAAATTTAAGAATGTCTAGAATATGGTGACGAGGATGAGGCTTCCTATCCTCTCTTTCTCTACATGTGCGAGTAATGTTGATTTTTATTAATTAAACTATACTAAAATTCTACGTAATTACTCTACAGACTTATTAATAGTGATATAGAGGATGATCTATTACCAGGATCGGGAATAGCAACCAATATGAAAGTGTGACTAATATCTATGACTTACAGTAGTCGCTGCATAACTTCACCCATAGAGATCTGTAGAGATAGTCCACAGTCGACGAAACGACTATCAGACGCGCGCGATCGATTTTCGGATCACTCGGTCCGATTCGCGACTATCCTACCGACAGCGCCAATTACGGAACTAGCTGCCGGAAGGAGGTTTTTTAAAAAGCGATTTGTGTCCTTTTATAAGATTTTAATGTATTTATTTATTTATTAGACGAACACAACAGTCGACATTCAAGAAAGATTTAACAAATAAATTTGCTTAAAACTATATTTGGACCAGAATGCCAACCAGGAGCGTGTACGTACAGCATGTTTAGAAAGTTTCTGTCAAATTATAAATTACAAATTTTGTGTTGGTACAAATAGAGCAAAAGAAAAGACCATAGAGAAAAAGTGTTAAAATAAAATTGCGAGACTTCAACTAGACTGCTTGAGGACACCCGCAACAGACTTTTTAAATATATGACACTTAGAATTAAATATATCTAACTGTATGTTATCCTTAATTAAGTCATTATAGGTGCGGCACATTCTTGTTATGGGATTGTAAAATGACGTGTTATTTTTAAAAACATTTAGGACAAAAGCCCGAGGACACCGAAGGTTACATCTAATGTTAATATTGATACTAGACAATAAGTTAGCAGAGTCAAGGTGAGAGTGTAAGATTTTATGGAGATATATTAAATCATGCATTGTTCGACGGACACTTAGTGATACCAGATTACATTGGGATAATCTGGTTTCGTAGGCAGGCATCTGGCGACGACTATGACCCAATCTATAAAAGAGAGATTTAAGAGCCATCCTCTGCACACCCTCAATTCTGTTGGAATGTACATGGTAGTAAGGTGACCAAATCGCTGTACCATACTCCAAAACGCTTCTTACCAATGAGCTATAAAGATGGATAAAGCTATATGGTTTCTTGAAAGCCTTAGTAGCACGGATCACAAAGCCCAGTGTCTGGTAAGCCCTGCCAACCATGCAATCAAAGTGATTTCTGAAACTTAATTTTTCATCAAATAATATACCGAGGTCTCTAACCACTTTCCGGCGTTGCAGGACATGTCTCTCTAGGGTGTACTCATAAATTATTTTATTACGTTTGTTGGTAAATGTTATAACTAAGCACTTATCAACGTTCAGGTACATTTGGTTTGTTTGGGACCATTGAGCGATAGTATCGATGTCATTTTGAAGAATGATACTGTCACTGTAATTAGTAATCGTATTAAAAATTTTTAGATCATCTGCATACAAGATACAGGGGCAATGGAGTTTTGCAATCAGGTCGTTAATAAATAAAATGAAAAATAAAGGCCCCAAATGCGAGCCCTGGGGCACGCCAGAAGAAATTGTAACTGGTGGGGATAAGAACCCTCTAATAGATACAAGTTGACTTCTATTGTCAAGATATGATCGTACCCAACGCAAAAGGTTACCATGAATACCAAATGATGTTAGTTTCATACAAAGAAGGCTGTGATTTACTTTATCAAATGCTTTTTTAAAGTCTGTATATATTGAATCCACTTGACCCCCACGAGCGAAAACTGAACAGAGATAGTGCTTATATTCCAGTAAGTTACTAATTGTAGATTTATTTCTGATGAAGCCATGTTGTTGGCATGATATAAATGGTTTAACGTGTGAGTACACGTATTCATAAATGACACTCTCAAAAAGTTTAGCTACACTAGACAAGATACTAATAGGTCTATAGTTAGTACATAAAGAAGGATCACCAGACTTTAAAACTGGAACTACATGCGCGACCTTCCATTCCTGGGGAAAAATACCAAGGTTCAAAGATAATTGAAATATAAGTTTCAGCGGCAAACATAGCTCCTCTGCACATTCCCACAGAAACTTAGGAGGTATCCCATCTGGACCAGCACCCTTATTTGGGTCTATGCATTTAATTTTGCGCAAAATGTCGCAACTAGCTATTGTTATATTAGAGAGAGTATCATTAGTTTCATTTAGTGGATTGGTATGGCGAGGTGAGTTTGATGTTTCAAATACCGAGGAGAAATAACTAGACATTAGGTTACAAATTCCCTGACCATTTTTAGCAATTTCAGTTCCAAGTCTTACAATATTAATGAAATATTCATGAATAATTAATGAAAGTATTACATAGGTTTGCCTTAAAACTAATTATGCTAAGAGACCGGTTCGCTTCAGCGATTGAGCGGGAGTGTTCTCTAAAACGTTTCACGGATTAACCTTAATTTCGACACTGCACTTTTGGGAATTTTACTAATGATTCACTGGTCTTTCACAATCACTGTTGGCATGCGGCTTCATCATTATTGAAGGGTTAGCACCGGTAACAAGCGCGTAAACTACTGTACTTCAATGTTGTGTATGTGTCTTGTGCCGTCTGTCAATAGAATACAGTGAAATCATTGTGTGAAATGTGGTTGGCGTGAAGAAATAACCTCAATTTTGTAATGAAAATTTTATTTCTTCCAACGTAAGTTAGGTATTTCATTAAAATATTCTTTATATTTATATGATAGGGAATTTATCCACCTTTCTAGTCATATTTAACACATTCCCTATGATTATACAGAATAACGTTTTTTTTACGACAAATTGGATTTTTTAAATTGTTTTTGACCTAGTGTTTTAAAAATTTTTTAATGCATAATACGCTCATTATTCTCTATAACTTTTAAAAGGTTTAGTAATACTGTCAAAAGAAAAAATCGCTTAGAAACATAGCTTTTTGTAGACAATCATAGGAGTGAATATTCTTCTACAAGATCAACTACACTAACGCAAGTAAAAACAATATTTTCGTATTTTAAAGTTTTTCTATAGATAAAGCTATAGACAAAATGCTCGCAACACTGTTTTGAAAAAGCTTTAAATTCTTATCGCCATTTTTATTTATAAAGAATGACTATGAAGTAGCCGAGAATTTTTTTTTTCTTTTTAAAAAGTAAATCTAAGTTGAAATTAGCTTGAAGAAGCCTACAACTTCTTGGAAATGGTTTGTTTTGTAAGTTATTTTGTATATTTAAGCTTTCTATAAATATTTAAAACCGAAAATCGATAACTGTATTTTTATTAAGTTTATATTTTATACATAAATATTTAAAATTAGCGAGCGCATTACTTTTATGACAGGTTTTACATCACGTTTCACAATGTATTAGACTAAATAAAAACTGTCTACAAATGGTCTTGTAGCATTCTAGAAGGGTTACTTGAGAAAAAAGATAAGAACCACGCTTAACACTACCTACAGATAGTTTCTCAAAGCACTCTTGTGATCTACTAATAAAGATGTGCCCACTTTTACTTTAAATTATCTAGAAACCTTCTTCGAGATATCTTGAGGGAATTTGAACTCTTAAAATATTCAGTCGAATTAAATTCTATTAGATATCAACAAGTAAATAATAAAAACCAACTACATGTGCTCTCTGAAACAAAGATTTGCCCACGGTAGCTAACTGGCTAGTAAAAATTAAAAATAAGGTATTTAATTAATAACTATTATAACTATAGTGAAAAAATAGGGTGGCTTGCATCAATATTAGACATAACTGGTTGAAGACTGTACCACCTCAGTCAACCGTTACCATGGGACCTGTAAAGGGCCCGAAACGTGAGTTTGTTTGAAAAAACAAATATACGCGATTTAAATCCGGAAAAATAGTAGAAGCTTAAAAACTAAATCTATAAATTATTTATAAAATTTAATTAATTTGAATGAAGTGAGCTTTCCGTGAGTTTTTCCTTAATTTTTCACACATAAACTCTTTTATCGAATAATACGATTTGTGAATAAGATATTGGTTCAATTTCTTTTTAAATGCATTAATATTATCCTCTTGTCTAATAAATACTGGGATTTTATTGTAGATTATAATTGAACTATACAAAGGACCTTTTTTAAACATTTCTAATTTGGGTAAAAATATTGACGGCGGGGATTTTGATTAAATTCAAAATATGTTGGTTGTTTACGGCTAAACAATGCTATTTCCATGATATAAAGGCATGGGAGAGTTAGCATGTTCTCTTTAATAAAATGTGGTCTACAACTTTCCCGCTGACGGTTATTTACTATAATACGGAGACATTTTTTTTGAAGAATGAACAGGTCATGCGCTTGAGTACTTTGTCCCCATAGAATAATTCCGCAGCGC